GTTAGATCGACTGGGCTAGTGTTCCTGATCAAGAATATATATACTTTGCGGGGTCGGAAACGCTTTGTTCTACCTGTTAAATACTTACCAACAAATCCAGTACACCCTTTTACACTACGAGTAACGGGTATAAAAACAGGAACTATAAAAAAAATTAGATGAAAAATGTTTCGAAAAAAAAAATATAGGAAGAAAGATGGTTCATTATAAATTAAAATTCAAAAAGAAAGACACAATTAACAAAAGTGAATATAATGATTATTCCAGGCAAACGGGAGGAAATTAACGAATACAACAACTACAATTCATGTGACAGAGGGACAGAGAATTAAAAAGAATTCGATAAAAACCCGGAATGGATACCACTTACTTAAAACTGGATCCATAGGTATTCCAACAAATTTTTAATATCACTATTTAAGCGTAAACATAACTAAGACAGAACAAACATTTGAAAGACTTTAAATGATGATTTTAATGAATTTAATAAAATTATACAAATCAGATAATTAGCAGAAAAACTTAAGAGAGAAGTTAATGGAATTAAAATAGCCAAGCGTAGTAAGAGAAAATTATTAGTATTAATAGTTCGATTTACAAATATTTGTTCGGAACATAAGATCTGGAATCCAAAGTTCAATTTAGAAAGTCACTCAGTAATAACAAAATCACTCATCAAATGCTCTAAAGCGAGGTTTGATCGTAAATGAAGTAGAACTTAAAGAGCGAGTTCAGTTTAAGCCTTGTAACATTCAGGTCGGTGTTCTTCCAATCAAGAGCATATTGTATCGGTTTAAGAATAAAATAAAATAAAGTTTTTTTTATATTAAGCTTAGGGTGAAAAAGTGTAATTTTATATTGTTGATCTTGCCATGTCCGTGTGAACGCTGTGATCTCGAAAAACCTAGAAGCTAGAGGGTTGAGATCTCATATATAGCTTTCGTGTTTTCGTACGCAGCGCAAGTTTGTTATGCGAGCATGCCACGCCTACTATGACGACCACAAACCGCCCAAAGCTGTTGCACCCACAGTTTTCATGCTACAAAAAAATGTTAACTGAAATGTATTAGTCTCAAATGCATTTTCTACTTTTCGCCTAGCTTTGGATAGATTGTAGTTGACATTTCCGTGTTCTTCGGATGCAGTTGTGGAAGAAGGCACCTTACCTGTAACGCACGAGAGTGAATACTACTGTTGAGTGGTTAAGGTGATCGACTGCTTCTGCTGCTGACGATTTTATTTCGATGCACCTAGACACTGGGGAAATCCAGTTGCCTCGAATCCTTTGACACATTCGTCCACTTTTTCTGGAGTAAAATAGTCCGGGGACATGAACTCGCTAACAAAATCAAAAATGAGTGCCTAGCAAGAATTGTGATGAATTTTTCACACAGTGTTTTGTGCAACTCCAAAAACCGTCGTCAATCCACTCCTTTGCACTGGCTGCCAATAAATATTGAAGCTACTTCAATGCAACATACAAATATGAGATACAAGCGCCACCACAGGGTCGGAAACGCTTCCTTCTACCTGTTACATACTTTTCCCCGAATACAGTATACCCTTTTACTCTACGATTGACGGATATAAATGCTCAATATCAGAACTTTACAATTTTCTCTGTGCATGTAATATTTTTCAGGTATAAAGAACTGAATTTATTTCAATATATGGATTGAATTTAAGCACTATTTAAAAAATAAATTCCATAAAGCTTTTAAAGCTTTTTTGTCTGGTTCTTAGCAATAGATTGACTGTCATGATTGGCTAGAGCTTTGAGGATATTTTAAAATCTCTATTTAGTTTGCAACGCATAAAAACGGATAATCGCTTATCGTCCTCAGCAATCGATCGGCTGTGTCTATAGTGAGTTTGCTATCGAGATGGATTTCATCACTCTCAAAAAGCTGGGTGGTGCATACGCGTCTGTGGGTAAATGTGTCCGTGGTAGCTTACCTCGGTAGCTTGCATGAAAGGTCATGAAAATGTGTGTAAGGTACTGCAAACATATTCGCCCAGCTGCACAGCAGGGCGTTAATTTGCGTTAATTAAAATAAATAAGTCATGCGATAAAAATAACGGCGTGGATTTTAAGCTCTCCCAGAAAGTGTGCTCTAAAACGGTGACCGGCGCTGCCTTAAATTAGAGCCCCAGTACTTGCATCGCTGGTACCTGCTCCTGTATCTATTTATTTCTCCGCAAAGCGCAGCAATTAAAGGGATAATTGATTTTGCCACAGCCAACACAAATTTGTACCTCGAACAATAATTCGGCAATTTAAAAATGCTTGCTTAGAAGAACATGCGTTTGTGGTCTCCCGTATTGCTTCGCATAAATTCTAGTCAAATGCTGCGATGTGATAACTTATTCGCCGGCAACAGGATGGCAAGTTTTTCCAAATGACTGAGTAGGCAAAAACGATGGACCCTGCCATGCATGGACAAACAAAAGATTATATTTGCCCCTGCTGGCGCTTCTTAGACACAGCACTTAAACTCCGTAAGGGAAGCAGCAACAGCTGCTCAACAGACTTACACTGGTCGGCTTATGTATTTTGACAAAATAAAAGTTAAGTATACTCATAACTTGAATTTACTTCTTGTAAACTATAGGCATCAATGGAAAGGTAATTTCAATGCCGTTTGAATGATACAATACATTTCTTTACCCATTCAGTACTTATTGAAAAGGACAAATTTGTGTAAATCAACTTTTAAATTTTTTTTTCAAACTTTTTTCCTCGACTTGAAAACTTAAACTTTTTGATGCAAAAAGTTTCTTCAAACAAAAATAATAGTAACTGCAAAAAGAATTTTTCAAAAATCATTTTCCTTATATTTTTTATGATTTTTTGAAGGTGACAATGTCGGAAAAAATTTGTATGAAAAAGAGAAAAATATGGCTCAAATGCCTGTTTTTAAGCATTTTCAAAAATTCATAAAAAATATAAGAAAAATGATTTTTGAAAAATTCTTTTTGCAGTTACTATTGTTTTTGTTTGAAGAAACTTTTTGCATCAAAAAATTTAAGTTTTCAAGACGAAGAAAAAAGTTTTTTAAAAAAATTTAAAAGTTGATTTACACAAATTCGTCCTTTTCAATAAATACTGAATGGGTTAAGAAATGTATTGTATCATTCAAACGGCATTGAAATTACCTTTCCATTGATGCCTATAGTTTACAAGAAGTAAATTCAAGTTATGAGTATACTTAACTTTTATTTTGTCAAAATACATATGCCGACCACTGTATAATGTTGCAGTAATAAAAAATATTGTTACATTACACATAGAAGGGCGAGGGATGTACTAAGCTGCAGCTATGCCCGGTGCTGAAGCTGATGTTAAGGCAGACACTGAAGGTACGTTTAACAAAAACGACGGCGACAATAAAACATGTGTCAACTGCCAGCATCCTGAGCAATATAAATAACACTTGGCGAACATATTTTTTTAACTGCAAGAAGATGTTGTTGAAGATGGGGCCGGCATGCGCTTTGAGGAATTACGGAAAACATACCGCAATTTGAATAACACTCGGCGTACATATTGATACCCTTGCAGAGGATATTAAGATTTCAGTCAGAAGATTGCAGCGCAGTGAAGGAGACGTTTCCGACCCCATAAAGTATACACCTATCCCTGGCTTTGCGTCGAAGATACGTTCCAAAAAATACGACGCAAATTGAAACGACGCAAAGTGAATTAGGATTTTCTATAGCAAACCATGTAAAGTTCGAAGATGGGTTCCAGGATTACAAAAATACTACTTTTTAAAAAGAAAATCGAGCAAAGTGATCATTAAAAAAAAACCAAAATAACATTTCATTTTATTACATATTATACATATAAAAACAAAAAGAAACTAATTAATTTAAAACAAAATAAATTAGAAAAAAAATTAGAATTAATCACTCTCTGACGAGTCTTTAGTGCCTGTTGTCGTAGCGAAGGAGACGTTTCCGACCCCATAAAGTATATATATTCTTGATCAGCACCACTAGACGAGTCGATCTAGGCATATCTGCCTGTCCGTATGTCCGTCTGTCTGTCCGTTTCTACGCAAACTAGTCTCTCAGTTTTTAAGCTATCGGGCTGAAACTCTCCCAAAAGTCTTCTTTCCTTTGGAGGTGGTATATAAGTCGGAATCAGCTGGTTCGGAAAACTATATCTTATAGCTGTCAAAAAAATAATCGGAAAAAAAATTGTAAAAAATTATTTCTTTGGTGTTTTTTAGCACATAAATAATATTTTTTGATTAGTTCTGAATTTCGAATTTCATTTTATCAAAATCGGACGACTATATCATAAAGCTGCCATAGGAACGATCGGAAAATTGGTGGGAAAATAATATGAAACAAATTATAGCTTCGGTGTTTTTTGACATATTATCTTATACTATTGGGAATATAACTTTTTGTATTTTAAATTTAATAATTATAACTGCAAGGGTAAACAAACGTCGGCTTGCCGAAGTTTACTTCCTTTCTTGTTTTTCTTTAAGACTGCAAGAATTGGTCAAGAAGATGGGGCTGGTTTGCGGCCATTTTGAGTTCCATTTGAGCGCAGAGATGGTCCTAAAAAATTTATCGGATATTCTTTGTTACGCATTTGAAAGCAAATACTCGACCCACGGTGAATTTAAATCATCACAGTTCACTCTGCATATAAGGAATGTATTAATTGCCATTAAGAAGCCGTCCGTGATTTTTGCAAACTTTTTCATAATTTATGCAGACGGAAATCCAACATATGGAAATAAGAAGGACTCCGATACAATTTCGTATCCAAATTCGACGTTTCGGAATTTTGAAAAGCATTGTCAAGAGCTTTGACTGCTTAATTAAACATACCATGGCGCAGCAGAGAAATTCTCAAGTAAATAATTAAAGAACAGAAACTTAATAAAAACTTTTCAAACTCATTGAAAAGTTGATCTATAAAAATTCATAAATTCGATAAGCTATACCGCGCTGGCCTATATAAGTCTGGCGTAAGAAGGCCGTAGCACACTGGTTTCAAGATGGTATTCAAGCTAATACATCCCGCCCCGCTCACGGAGCAAAAGCGGTCCCGCGACGGCTGCATCTACTTGTACCGGGCCATGAAGTTGATTGGATGGCTGCCTCCGAAAGAGGGCGTGTTCCGATATTTGTACCTCACGTGGACGCTGATGACGTTCGTGTGGTCCACCACGTATCTGCCACTGGGCTTTCTTGGTAGCTACATGACGCAAATCAAGTCATTCTCCCCAGGCGAGTTTCTTACCTCGCTCCAGGTGTGTATCAATGCCTACGGCTCCTCGGTGAAGGTGGCCATCACCTACTCGATGCTTTGGCGCCTGATCAAGGCCAAGGGTCTGTTGGATCAGCTGGACCTGCGCTGCACCACCATGGAGGAGCGGGAGAAGATCCATCGAGTGGTGGCGCGCAGCAACCATGCCTTCCTCATCTTCACCTTCGTCTACTGCGGTTATGCCGGCTCCACCTACCTTAGCTCGGTGCTAAGCGGCCGGCCGCCTTGGCAGCTGTACAACCCATTCATCGACTGGCATGATGGCACGCTTAAGCTCTGGGTGGCCTCCACCCTTGAGTATGTGGTGATGTCAGGCGCCGTGCTACAGGATCAGCTTTCTGACACATATCCGCTTATTTACACCCTTATTCTTCGCGCCCACTTGGACATGCTGAGAGAGCGTATCCGACGACTTCGATCCGACGAGACTTTGAGCGAGGACGAGAGTTACGAGGAGCTAGTTAAATGTGTCATGGACCACAAGATGATTATGAGGTAGGAAACACTCAAATCTGGAGTTCAAACTAGTAAAGTTTACTGTGCCCAGCAGATATTGCTCGATCATTAAGCCAGTTATTTCGGGAACCATCTTCACTCAGTTTCTGCTGATCGGCCTAGTTCTGGGCCTAACGCTGATCAACGTGTTTTTTTTCTCGGATATCTGGACGGGCATCGCATCCTTTATGTTCGTCATAACTATTTTGCTGCAGACCTTTCCGTTCTGCTATACCTGCAACCTCATTATGGAGGACTGCGAGTCTCTGACCCACGCCATATTCCAGTCCAATTGGGTGGATGCCAGTCGCCGCTACAAGACAACCCTCCTATATTTCCTTCAAAATGTTCAGCAGCCCATCGTTTTCATTGCCGGCGGCATCTTTCAGATATCCATGAGCAGCAACATAAGTGTAAGTGCAGACGAAAATAGTTCATGTTCTTGGCACTTTTTCTCATTATCTACTCCCCTTTAGGTAGCAAAGTTTGCTTTTTCTGTAATAACGATTACTAAGCAAATGAACATTGCCGACAAATTTAAATCGGACTAAGGTTTGGATGCTTTATAAGATTGATAAAAACAAATCTTGCAATACAAGCGTATAAATCGAAAAAAAACTCAAGAATGAACACTTAGTAGAATAACTCGACTTTGATATACACGTTAATCTCTTAAACAATACAAAAAAAAATCCTTTGATTAGAAGCAGAGGAACATAGATATAACATATTTATGAAATTCATATTTTACACGTCATATCTTCTGGCGTCATACCTGAACATGGTCTTGCTAACAAGTGGTCCGATGTGAACAATTTTAGGTATTGACAAACGAAATAAAAAAAAAATGTACTCGGAAACAAATTCTTTGAAAGTGTGGGCGCCACGAACTTATACGGCTTGTGGGCCTTAAGATTGTGCTTGGCCCTCTACTAAAATAAACGTAGCAGCACCAAAGCGACTGTTTTTGAGATCGCACACCATCCCTGCGGGAGTGTGCGTCAGCAGTTCTCTAAAGTGTACAATTTGCATTTTGGAGAGGGAACATGTGTCTTGTTAGCTAGAAAAGGAGTTGAGCAGAGAATGAAGAAGGAATTTATCGCCATGGGAAAGGAAACAAGAAAGGGAAACTGCACGCTTTTTACCCTGACCGCTCCGTGCAGCGGGCAGGCATCAAATTTGACTATCTCTCCTAGCTTAACTAATTTAGTCCTGAATTTCTTGTGCCAATACCGTGTATTTCGAAACCAGAATGTTCAGAAATGTAGATATGCAAGGTGTTTAAGCTTAGATGCGAGAACATGAAAAAATATGTTCAAAAACAAAATCGTGAATTTTAGAAAATCGCAATACTTTGAAAATCATATTTACACCCTTTCAGAGGGTACTATGATTTCAGTCAGAAGATGGCAATGCAGTGAAGGAGACGTTTCCGACCCCATAAAGCTCTAGCCACGTCCATCTGTCCGTTTGTCCGTCCGTTTCTACGCAAACTAGTCTCTCAGTTCTAAAGCTATCGGGCTGAAACTTTCCCAAAAGTCTTCTTTCTTTTGTAGCCGGATCGGAAAAAAAATTAAAAAGAATTATATCTTTGGTGTTTTTTAACATATAACCTCCTACGCTTGGAAATAACATTTTTTAATTAGTTCTGAGTTTCGAATTGAATTTTATCAAAATCGGACGACTATATGATATTGCTGCCATAGGAACGATCGGAAAATTGGTGGGAGAACTATATGAAACAAATTTTAGCTTTTGTGTGGTGGGAATATCACTTTTTGTATTTTTATATGTAATAATTATAGCTGCAAGGGTATACAAACTTGGGCTTGCCGAAGTTAACTTCCTTTCTTGTTTGACATATTATCTAATACTATTGGGAATATCATTTTTGTATTCTTAGGAATTTTGCAGAGGGTATTATGATTTCAGTCAACAGTTTGCAACGCAGTGAACGATACATTTCCGACCCCATAAAGTATACATATTCTTGATCAGCATCACTAGACGAGTCGATCTAGCCATATCCATTTGTCCGTCTGTCCGTCCATTTCTACCCAAACTAGTCTCTCGTTTTGAAGCTATCGGGCTGAAACTTTCCCAAAAGTCAGCCCGATCGGACTACTATATTTTAAAGCTCCCATAGGAAAATTCGAAAAAAAATTTTTTTAAATGATATTTTTAATGTTTGTTGACATATAAATTCCTACGCTTGGAAATAACATTTTTTAATTACTTCTGAATTTCGAATTTGATTTTATCAAAATCGGACGACTATATCATATAGCTGCCATAGGAACGATAGGAAAAGTGGTGGGAAAATAATATGAAACAAATTATAGCTTCGGTGTTTTTTGACATATTATCTTATACTATTGGGAATATCCTTTTTTGTATTTTAAGGAATTTTTCAGAGGGTATTATGATTTCAGACAAAAGTTTCAACGCAGTGATGGAGACTTTTCCGACCCCATAAAGTATATATATTCTTGATCAGCATCGCTAGACGAGTCGATCTAGCCATGTCCGCCTGTCCTTCTGTCTGTCCGTTTCTGCGCAAACTAGTCTCTCAGTTTTAAAGCTATCGGGCTGAAACTCTCCCAAAAGTCTTCCTTCTTTTGCAGGTAGCATATAAGTCGGAACCAGACGGTTCGGACACCTACAAGGGTGGTCCCATAAGTACTAAGCCTCCAAAAGAAAAACGAAAATTTTGGAAAAGTGGCGATTTATTTCTCAACATAATCTCATTTTAGCTCGATACACTTGACCCAGCGATGCTCCAACTTCTTTAACCCGTCTGAAAATTACATATTCTCGAGGTCTGCAAAATAGGTCTCTAGGACGCAAATTTCTGTCCAGCGAGTGACGTTTTCAAGTTTGGAAACAAAAAGAAGTCACACGGAGCCAAATTTGGAGAACATGGTGGATAGGGTAGCAGTTCGAAGTCCAATTCGACCAATTTGGCCTTGGCGAGGGCGGAAGTGTGAGCCGGTGCGTTGTCATAATGGAAGAGCACTTTTTTTCCGCCAAATGGGGCCGTATTTTCTGGAATTCGGCCGCGAACCAGCCCAATTATTTGGCATAGACAGCCCTGTGACCGTTTTGCCCTTCTCCAGGTTGTCGATGTAGATCACACCTTGTGAGTCCCAAAAAACGGTGGCCATCACCTTTCCGGCCGATGGGACAGTCTTCGCCTTCTTCGAAGCAGGTTCACCGGGTGAAGTCCACTGTTTCGACTGTTCCTTGGTCTCTGGTGTGTACAAGTGGATCTGTGTTTCGTCGACGGTCACGAAACGACGCAGAAACTCCTTCGGATTGCGCTTAAACAGCGTCAAACACTGCTCTGAAGTGGTCTCACGGTTGCGTTTGTTGTCCGGAGTGAGCAAACGCGGCACCCATCAAGCCGACAGCTTTCTCATGCCCAAAATTTCATGCAGGATATAACCCACGCGGTCTTGTGACATGCCTACTGTCTCAACTATCTCGCGTATCTTCAATCGGTGGTCTGCCAAAACGAGATCGTGGATTTTGGTCACGTTATCCTCCGTGGTAGCCGTTTTCAGGGCTCCTGGGCGTGGCTCATCAAAAACCAACGTGCGATCACGTTGAAACTCGTTAAACCAATTTTTGACGGTCGCCATCGAAGTAGAAGACTTATCGTACACAGCAGCCAAGCGCTCTTTGATTTCGCTGCGCGATATCCCTTCCAAAAACAAGAATCGAATCACAGACCGATATTGCTCTTTCTGCATTTTTCTTAAGTCCGCGGATACGTCCGATTCCGAATTTCGACAGTAGCCGTCTACGAGAATGTACTACACGATAGTAAATTTCTCTTGCGATAGTGACGCCATCGGGCGGTGAAGCTGAGTACTTATCGAACTGCCCTCGTATATCTTACAGCTCCCATAAGAATAATCGCGAAAAAAAATTTTTAAAATTATTTCTTGGGTGTTTTTCGAATTTAATTTTGTCAAAATCGGAAGACTGTATCATATAGCTGCCATAGGAACGATCGGAAAATTGTTGGGAAAATAATATGAAACAAAATTAGCTTCGGTGATTTTTAACATATAACCTCCTACGCTTGAAAATAACATTTTTTAATTAGTTCTGAATTTTGAATTTAATTTTATCAAAATCGGACGAATATATCATATAGCTGCCATAAGAACGATCGGAAAATTAGTGGGAAATTAATATGAAACAAATTATAGCTTCAGTGTTTTTGGACATATTTTCTTATACTATTGGGAATATAATTTTCTGTGTTTTTCAGAATTTTGAATTAAATTTAATTATTATAACTGCAAGGGTATACAAACTTCGGCTTTCCGAAGTTAACTTGCTCTCTGGTTTTTATTTCTTTTGTAATTTTTCCTTCAAACAAAAAAATCTACTTTATTAGTTTATAATAATCTTAATTGGTTGTATAGTCATTAAGTATTTAAACTTATATCACGTCCAAGCGGGAAGATCTTTGTGTCTTTTTTGTATTTCCTTTATATTAATATTTTTATTAAAATGACGTTTTAGTTAACCTAATTTTAAGCAATAAAACACTACTTCTAATATTTGATCTTAATTAACATTTATGTTAATATTAACATGAAATTTTCACAAGTATTATTAAACCCCTGCAGAGGGTATTTGGATTTCAGTCAGAGGTTTGCAACGCAGTGAAGGAGACGTTTCCAAACCCATAAAGTACATATATATTTTTGATCAGCATCACTAGACGAGTCGATCTAGCCATGTCCGACGGTCCGTCCGTTTCTACGCAAACTAGTCTCTCAGTTTTAAAGCTATCGTATAGGTAGTATATAAGTCGGAACCGGCCGGATCGGACAACTAAATCTTATAGCTCCCATAGGAATAAACGAAAAAAAATTTTTTTTTAAATGTTATCTTCAGTGTTTTTTAATATATAACAATAACTTTTTAAGCGTAAGGGAAATAACATTGTTTAATTAGTTTTGAGTTTCGAATTTAATTTTATCAAAATCGGACGACTATATCATAAAGCTTCCATAAAAATGATCGGAAAATTGCTGAAAAAATAATATGAAACAAATCATAGGTTCGGTGTTTTTTAACATTTGATCTTATACTATTGGAAATATCTTTTTTTTGTATTTTTACGAATTTCGAATTAAATTTAATAAAAATCGGACGACTCTAACACATAGCTGTCAAAGAAACGGTCAAAGAATTAATGAAATAATTATTTTTAAAAAATTGTGCCTTGTTGATTTTTATTGTATTTTCTCTTACTCTGGGATATAGAATATTTTAACTTTTCAGCATTATGAATTTAATTTTCACAAATGTCACTGAAGCTAGCAACAATCTTTAAAAATTTAACATGGTGTTACTAACATTTATTATTTCTTATAACTTCAAGGGTATACAACTTCGGCTTGCCGAAGTTAGCTTCCTTTCTTGTTTCTGTTTAAAGCTGAACGTGTTTCTGTTTAGTTCTCCTTTAGTTCTACAGTCAGCTCTTCCCCGGTCGACATCAGCAGATAAGTAGGCCCAGCGCAGGAGACTGCCGACGTAAACGGTCGGGCAAAAAAGAGAAGCAGATACTCGTAGTTTTCCCTCTATTTCTTGGTTTTATAATCTAATATTATTTGCCTTAAATCGGCGCTCGCAGTGTCGGAATTCGGTGTTTCCTTTATACTATCTTCATGCTAATACGCCTTAGAAAAGCAAAACAAATTCAAACGTAAAGGAGCGACAAAAATGGGCTTCACTCCGCTTTTTCTTTTGGCTTTAATCGACGAAAAACATCTTTGTACCCCTTACTCGTAGAGTAATACGGTATACTAGATTCGGCGGAAATTATGTAACAGGTAGAAGGAAGCGTTTCCCACCCAATAAAGTATATATATCCTTGATCGGGATCACAAGCGGAGTCGATCTATGACCGTATGTCCGTCCATCCGTATGGATTAGGGATTAGGCATGCAAATTCTAGAGATTCCTGAGCAGCGCAAGTTTGTTTCATCAGCGTGCTACGCCCACTCCAACGCCCACAAACCGCCCAAAACTTTGGCTCCTACAGCTTAAATGCTTCTTAACTGCGTTGCATTGTTCTCATCAATTGATTGAATCAACAAAATTTGCCACGCCCACTGTAACGACCACAAGTTACCCACAAGCTTCCAAAATCGTAAGTATGAACGCGAATTTCTCAATTAATTTCGAATTTATCTAAGATTGAGAATTGAGATTTCTGATTTAGATTTTCTAGGCTTGTAAAGCCCACAAACCGCCCACACCTGTAGCGCCCACAATTGTCTTGCTAGAAAAAAAATGTAACTGAAATGTATTAGTCTCACCAATACTTATCGATTGACCCAAAAAAAAGTTTTCCACCCCCACTATAACAACCATAACGCTTAACACATATATTGAGATCGCGGGTAGGTTGCGTATGACAGCATAGCATTCTTCGTTGGTTTAGTAAGTGTTTAATAAGTTTAAGTCAGGTAAGTGTTATTTTAATTTATTGATTAACAGCATTTAAATATCGCCCATTACCGCAGCGTTCAAATGTCTTTTCCAATACATAATATATAACTAAAATATATTAAACAACAAGAGATAACGCTATAGCCGAGTGTCTCGCCCACAAACCGCCCAAAACTTTGGCTCCTACAGTTAAAATGCTAGAATAAAACTGCGTTGTATTGTTCTCATCAATACCTATATATTGGCCCACTTTAAGGACCACAAACCGCCCACAAGCTTCAAAAATCGTAAGTATGAACGCGAAATTCTCGGAAACTATCAAAGATTGAGACTTGGGACTTCTGACTTCGTTTTTGTAGGCTTGTAAGGCTTGTAACGCCCACAAACCGCCCACACCTGTAGCGCCCACAATTGTCATGCTAGAAAAAAAAATTTAACTGAAATGCATTAGTCTCGTCAATACCTATCGATTGACCCAAAAAAGTTTTCCACCCCCACTATAAAGCCCATAACGCTTAAATCTGTCTGCCGCCCACATAACCATATATTGAGATCGCGGGTAGGTGGCGTATAACAGCATAGCATTCTTCCTCGGTTTAATAGGCAAATTTAATTATACAAGTGCATTTATAAGTTTAAGTCAGGTAAGTGTTATTTTAATTAATTGATTAACAGCATTTAAATTTCGCCTATTACCGCAGCGTTCAAATGTCTTTTCCGTGTGTGCGAAGGTGACTATTTATATCATAGAGTAAAAAGCTATATAGAGGCTTCAATTGCTTTGCCCGAACCTCTGCCCAACCTCTGCTAAGAGCCCATTCAAGGCCAAGTTTGAAGCTAACTTAGGTGCGAAGCAACAGCAATAGGGATTTCGATTAAAAACAAAAACCAAACAGTGAGCAAGAGCGGTGCAGAATGAGGTGGGAATGAATTACAAGTTCGATCGAACTTTACAAAAAGAGGGGAAATAAGCTTTTTTCGCCTAGGTGGCATCATAGCCTCATTATCTAAAGAGAGCGGCAGAGCAATTGGCGCCTCTATATAGTTCATTACTCTATGTTTATATAGCCGCAGAATTAAAAACTGCAGTGATTGTCCCATAGAGTAATGAACTACATAGAGGCGCCAATTGCTCTGCCGCTCTCTTTAGATAATGAGGCTATGATGCCACCTAGGCGAAAAAAGCTTATTTCCCCTCTTTTTGTAAAGTTCGATCGAACTTGTAATTCATTCCCACCTCATTCTGCACCGCTCTTGCTCACTGTTTTGTTTTTGTTTTTAATCGAAATCCCTATTGCTGTTGCTTCGCACCTAAGTTAGCTTCAAACTTGGCCTTGAATTGGCTCTTAGCAGAGGTTGGGCAGAGGTTCGGGCAGAGCAATTGGCGACTCTATATAGATTCTTACTCTATGATTGTCCGATCATAACGAGTGATACATCAATCAAAAGGTATTGCAAAACATAAAAAGTTTAGAAAGACTATGTATTAAGTCGAACTTACAAGCATTCTTCGTCTAAAAATTGATATCAGATCCTTTGTAAGTTGAAGGTGCGACCCCTTACCTTGTTAACAGGTAGAGTAAAAGGGAATACTAGATTCGTCGGAAAGTATGTAACAGGTAGAAGTCAGCGTTTTCAGGATCACTAGCCGAGTCGATCTAGGAATTTCCGTATGAACGCGGTGATCTCGGAAACTATAAAAGCGGCAAAACTGGAAGTAGACATGCAGATTCCAGAGATTCCTTCATTCCAGAGATTTGCGAATACTCTAACGCCCACAAACCTTCCAAGAAGAAAAGCAATGACGTCAGAGCCAGACAATGACAAATGTATTTATGGATGTGTGTGTTTAAATAGTTGCAAGCGGAAATTCGCAGCAAATATAACTCTTTCAAACAAAGCTGTTCGACCAAATATTTTATTGAACAACTAATGCAAACATTAAGATTGTACATGTATTATGTATATAATATGCTTTAAGATTCTTCATACCCTTCAGTTTCAAAAATAAGTTTTGAACCGTGAAGCACCTTGTGAGTCACCGGTGACGTGTGTCACGGGTGACGTAGGTATATTTAACTTTTAAAACTGCAATTTAGCCTTTTCGGCATTTTTATTGGCACAAAACATTATGAATGACACTTTCGTCTAACGGAACCAGAAGTTTGTAGGATATTTTGTTAAACCCTTAAAATTCATTATACCCGTTACTCGCAGAGTATCAGGCAGAAGGAAGCGTTTCCGACCGCATACAGTGTATATTTTCTTGATCAGGATCACTAGCCGAGTCGCTTTAGTCATGTTCGCCTGTCCGTATAAGCGCTAAGACCTCGGAAACTATAAGAACTAGGCTATTGGGATTTTCCATGCAGGTTCCTGAGCTTCTTGCGCAGTGCAAGTTTTTTTCAAAAAGGTGTCATGCCCATTCTAACGCCCAAAATAAAAATATTAACTAAAATGTATTGTTCTCATTGTTCAGGCCCTCTGTCTGGCGAATCTGGACCCCGGCACCGCTATACAATTGCAGCGCTCTCCTAGTGCACCACTCTCCTAAAGCACCGCTCTCTCTTCCCGCCCAGCTTTTTCCGTAGAGTGTAATTTCTTTCGGTCAACGGGGTACTTCGCGTATCGTGTGGTTTCTCCCCTACTGCTCAGAAGCAGAATTCAGGCCCCCAAAACTTTCCAAGATTTACTGTATATCTGCAGCCGCTAAAATACTTGCACATATTTTTCGTTTTTCCAAATACAGTCCACATACAAAGAAATCGAAAACGTCCACCACAAAAAATACTCGCCGGCATTAATTTAAATATATATATTTTATTATTTTTCCCTCGGAATATTAAATTAAATTAAAACAACACTCTAGTACTAAATAATCGACAAATATCATCCTACGGCAAACAACTTATTGGCATATTTTGGTATTTGTCTTCACTCAGATGTTTAAAATAAATATAAAACCTGCGAACATTACATACATACATATCAATATGTACATACATATACATATCTAAATACACCCTGTGGTACCATTCAGCGCTTATTGAGCACTCAATCACTGCAAAAAGTTCATCACTGAGCGCACAATTTGTATGGTATTGAGTGCTTAAATTAACATAGGCATGTCCTAGGGTTTATCAGTGCACAAAAACTAGCACGCATTGAGCGCTTTTTTGAGCACCCATTTGAGCGCTTTTTTGAGCAGCAAAAAAAGCACACGTTCAGCACATGTTGAGCGCTTGATTAAGCAGCGGAAAAAGCACACAATCAGCACACGTTGAGCGCTCGATTAAGCAGCGGAGAAAACACACGTTGAGCGCTCAATCAAGTAGCGAAAAAGCGCACATTCAGCACACGTTGAGCGCTTAGCAGCAAATAAAATTTCAGTTGTAATTTTTATTTATTTATTTTAAAATTTGAGCTCAGGGGTTCCCGGTGTTATCGTGGTCGCTGGCACCTCCTCCTCAGCATCTGGTGCCAGCGTTGCCTTTTTTTTGGTACAACTCAAGTTTTTAACGCACCGCATTGCCATCGTCAGCGACTTTTCCGGAGGCTCCGAGGGCTCCACCAGAACGATTGCATCTAGTATTAGAAAAAAAAAATTTGTTTTAAAAATAAAACGATACGAGAATAAAAACGAGTGACCGAAAGTATTCGTTATTTGTAAGATTTATTTATAATAAAATAAATGTTATCTTTGGCAATCAATGTAAAAATCCCAGAAGTCTTTTAAAAATTAAACTTACAAACAATAGTTACATTCAGCCTCAATAAAAACTTACTTAACAAGGCGCGGACGAAATTTGGGTATACTGAGCTTCTTCTTGTTTTGCCCCCCCTCCAAGTTGTGGGACAGAACAAGTTCCTCGGATAATATTCTTAAGATGGATCCTTAGCCTTCCATTTTTTTTATAGATTTACCATCAGCCTTGTCTAAAAATATAAGAAAATTAAAAAAGTATCGAGAAGAAATTTGCAAACTTTTGTTTTCGGTCACTTGATTTATTTTATTTGTTGTAAAAAATTATTTATGTATTTTTTTATTATTTATTAAAACATTTATTTATTTTGCATATGCGGAAAAAAATGACACCATTCCAGGGACGGAAAATTAGAGATGTTTGAGATTTTTATTTAAATAGCCATGTTTGTTTACTTACACAAAAATAAAAATTGTGCTTTAATGTTATTAATACAAACAAACATAAGTTATAAAAACAAACATCTCTTATTTTTCGTCCCCAGGAACTTTGCACTCAATAAGATTTTTAAATTTTTTCACAGATTCATTCATTTGTTTATTTATTCATTCTGCATTCTGATTCATTCATTTTTGTTTAACAAATGAAGCATTGTTTTTTTTCACGTCAAAAATTAATATTTTTCACAGCTATTTTTTTTCGCCACGTGTTTTTTGAGAATCTTGTATATTCCATTATTTTAATATACAATATCTTGTTTTTACACTCACTGTTTAAAAAAATATTGGTCTGCGACAGACTTACCTGGGAATCGTATAGGTATCACTTTTAAACCACTGGCTTATTTTATGTAACTACGTTAATTGCGGGCAATTCTAACTCTTTCCCATAAGTAAACGCAAGTGAAAAAGACGAAAAAAGTCGCGTGCCTTCCAGAAAAACAACAAGCAACAACAACAACGGTTCCGCTAATCCGTTGTTGTTCTGTTTTTTTGGCATGTCTCGTTTGGTCTATGCATCTTGCACATAAAAGCAGGGTATTTATAGACATATCCGACTATGCAAATCATTATATAAAAATATATTTTTAAGACTTCCCATATTAATAAATAATATTAATAAACATATAAATTTTTTTAAGAAATACAAATAATTTAAAACCCAAAAATATTATTGTCGCATTATTCAAAAGGCAAGGTTGCACAAAAGTCTAGCTATTTTAATTGTTTGGCCTCCTTGCCCTCACACGCATTTCTCCAGCTGAGACTTGGCGAGAGAGAGAGCCCAAAAGTACTTTTTGTGCATTCTCTTTGCGGATCCCGGCTGAGAGCGCGTCTTTTTGCCGCCGTTGCGCTCAGCTCTGCCGGCGTCGCTGGCTGCTCTGCCGACGTCGCAGTCGGCTTCGTGATAATTGGGCGCTTAACTCAATTGTGGAACTGCAGGGCATATCCATATCTACATACATACACATATCTACATACACATCCATATATACATACATATACATATTCATATCTACATACACACATACCTACATACATTCACATATACTTTTAATTCCACCATCCCGTTCCGACTAATTAAAGTATTCCGTCGTCCATCCGGTTAAAAATAATAAAATAAAAATTACACCAACCGACGTGAAAATTTGTTTGGTCATTGTGCTTTATTTAACAACCATCAAACTTTTTAGTATTTTTCGGCATTTGGTATTTACTACGTAAAATTTATTTTATCCAGGGAAAATAATACCAGCACTCCACCGCATGCATAGCATCCTCCGTCCACCAATTTTTTCGGTATATTTTATTATTTTTCCCTCGGAATATTAAATTAAATTAAAACAATACTCTAGTACTAAATAATCGACAAATATCATCCTACGGCACACAACTTATTGGCATATTTTGGTATTTGTCTTCACTCAGATGTTTAAAATAATGCAATCACTCCACCTGGGACTACATATTAACACATATTTGGTATTTTTCCCCTCAATTTATTTCAAACGAAAAAAATACCAGTACTAAAACAAAGAAAAATACCAAACTTGATCCGAATTACAATTAACATATACCAAAAAGGTTAAATATTATACTTTTTTTTTTCCACGGGTGATATACGAACTCCTTACTCACCGTTCCTAATCCGTATCATTGGATTCAATTCCGCAAAGTACACCAGGTCGGTAATTGCTCCAATTTATATTTTTCCGGTCCACTACTTTTTTGTCGACACTGGATTACCTCTTAGTGTACATGTGCTCCTCCAGACTAAGCTCAAGCTATCCTTGTGGGAACAGTCCCTGCACAACAAGGCCGAGATTCCGACGTGGCAGGAGCTGAATGCCTTCCTTACGGAGCGTCACCGGACCTTAAAAACCATAGACGACGTACGTCCGTCAGGCTCGAGTCAATCTCTGCCAAAAAAATCCGCCCCCAGTGCAGCGCTTCGAAGTATATATTCTTACGAGACAAGGGTAGCACCCAAGCCCAAAGGATGAGATCTTTGTAAGAAGGAAAACCATCCTGTCCGCACATGTGCACGATTTTACCAGATGACGGTCAACGAGAGGTCGGCATATATAAAGAGAAAGCAGCTGTGTCTGAACTGCTTCGCACGAGGGCATCAGCTGTGTGATTGTGAAAGCACTCATAGCTGCTTTACGTGCCGCGGCCGCCATCACACCTTACTACACAGAGGCAACTCCTCCCAATCGCCTTCGAATCCCGCCCCAAGACCCAGATCAAGACCAAATACACCAGTTGCCACCGCCAACGGCTCCACCGGGTTTCTACAGACCAAAATTACTTCGCGACCGCCATAATTGACATATGTAATCTGGGGTCGAATTTTAAAGCTCGTGCTTGATAGATTCAGGATCAGTAGCAACCCTTATTTCTGAGCGGCTGTTCAAATTAAGTATGTTGTCTCACAAAGTAATCCGAGCCCAAGTATCAGGCTTAAGCCAGACAGTATCCGCTGAATCCAAAAAGCTCTGTCAGTTTACCATCCGTTCTCCGACCAGGCCTGGCTTGCAAATAAACACGACGGCCTATGTTCTTCCTCAATTAGCTGGAAACCTCCCATCTTGTCCGATTCCGCAACAGGTTCTACGGGATCTTCCCGAACTGCCACTAGCGGATCCAAATTTCTTCGAGAGCGCACAGATAGATATTCTGATCGGGGCCGACTAACTGCCATCCATTCTCCTAAGCGGCACTCGGACGAACATTTGTGGCTCTCTCCTCGGTCAAGAAACCATTTTCGGGTGGATCCTAACAGGACCCGATCCTGCTCCAAGGGAAAATCAGATTTCCGCTTTTTCCACCCGAATTCCCCACACGGTAGACACGTCCCTGGATACGCTTCTCACCAAATTTTGGGAGGTTTCTTTTGAGCTATTGTAAGAATGCTTGTTCGAGCTGTTATTAGGAATCCCCAAATGTAGGCAGCAAGAACAACCCATCAGAACAAGCAAGCGAAACAGTGCTGCCCATCAAGTATGTTGGTATCGGCAAGGGCAGAAACTCAGAGCAACTTGCCATTCTTGGGTTTGATTTTTGAGAATAGAAAAAAAGGAAGAGCAGCTGATTGGTTCCATCTTTGGCGGCTCAATACATCCGGTTGGGGGTAACATACCTTGGCCACGAGCTCGGCTAATTCTTTTCGATTTTGATCGCCAAGGAGGACAGTCCAGCAGCTCAAAAGGTTTCAGGGCCTTGAAAAAAAAGAAAGTATTTTTCTTTCCTTGAAGGAAAGCCTTTACGTGCAGACCAACGGAATTAAAAAAAAAAAAAAAAAAAGGAAACTAAATTTTTTTTTATTTCTTGCGGCCAAGTTAGTTAAATATACCAAGCTATATATATAGCCAATTTAAGGGAGTGCCTATGCATTTTGTTTTTTCTCTTTCACTCGATGTGTGTCCAGCTTGGCACGCAGCCGCAAAATCAATCAAAAAGTAATAGAATTCGCTTAGCTTCCCAGAGTGACCTGCTTCCCGTCTCTCTCTTGGATTTCAGCCGGGAAAGCCTAAAGCCCTTTGCGCCGACTACGCTGTTTAAGCGTAGTAGTAGTTCGCGCCGTGCTTAGCCCGCCAGTTGGAATCACAATACCGCAGCCCCGAAGATTGCACAAATTTTTTTAAGTCTCCAAAGTGTGAAAAAAAAATGTGAAAAATAGGCCAACAGCGCCATAAAAGTAATATGTTAAATTAAGTGCATTATTTTTTTTTATTAATTTTGTTTGTTTGTTAGAAAAATGAGGAAAAAGTAAATGAGCAAAAGGTAAAACGTGAGAGTGAAATATTGCGACATAAAAGAACGGAGAACTGAAACACGTGAAAAAAAAGACACAAAGAGAAAGAAATGAATACCTACAAAAGAAAAAAACAAAGAAAAGATGTAAGTGTAAAAATAAAAAAATATCCCCCCAAAAGCGTGCAAACAGGTCAAAGCTCAGCATCACTGAAATGGACCGATTTGCGAGCCGCGATGCGAACTCAATTTAAAGGTGAGCTCACAGACGTTAATATCCGTTCAGCTATAGATCGACGCAAGCAAAAGGAAAACGAATCCTATGATGAGTTTTACGAGTCGATCGTTTTATTAGCCGACAAACTTTCAGTGCTCTTGTCCGAGCTGGCTCTGTTGGAAATTTTGCGAGCAAATTTGCAGCCGCATGAACTTTTATATGAAAAAATAATTAGTCCCGCACATCTACGCCACCTAGTAAGAAAACGTGAGGTATTTATACAATGCGTGGCTAAGAATAAACCACTATTCCAAAGGCCGCAAGCCCCATTGCGACGCGTAGTCAATGCCGTCGAACAACAAGTCAGTTGTGAAGAAGTTTTTAGCGAGGATGACGAGAGTATGGAGGTAGCAGCACTCAATTTGGTTTGCTGGAACTGCCGAGAGAATGGTCATAGATACCAAAATTGTACTATCGAACATAGGGTGTTTTGTTATGGGTGCGGTCAGCCGAATACTTATAAAAACAGCTGTACCAAGTGTACTGGCTCAAAAAACTTAGGGACACGTGCACCAGTGGTAAGTGCACGGAAGAAACTTTCATCAATCGCGACTCAGACAGATCTGTAGAGCCACCGCAATCTACAGAAACTGCATTTCCGGACAAGACAACTTCCCTGCTAGAACACCAACCTGGGTTTTCATCCTCAGTTATGGGCCAAAGGTCTTCGTTACAAACTCGCGAATATTACAGAAAAATTAAAAAAGAAAATCAGGCGCTAATCTCCGCCATTGTCGGACTGATGTACGGCCATATGCAAATGTTACTCTACTGGGAAGAGCCATGAAGGGATTAATGGATACGGGTGCATCCATAAGTTGTATAGGAGGTGACCTTGCCAGAGAAATTTTTGACAAAAATATTAAGTTTAAACAAATGTCATCAAATGTGCGCACAGCAGACGGCAAGTCACAAACCATTTCGGGAAAGCTTTGTTTAGAGGTCACGTATGGAGGGTTTACAAGGCTCTTAACATTTTTCCTTGTTCCGACGCTGATTCACTCGCTTTATTTAGGGATTGATTTTTGGACCGAATTCGATATGTTACCCTCCGGTCTAACAACTCAAGACGGACTATCTAGTATATCAGGCTACGAAAAAAAGTTAACTAAAATTGTTTCACAGCGCAAGCTTTCCACAGAGCAGCAAGGTCTGTTGGAAAAGGCGATTTAAACCTTTCCCTCATTCGCGGAGAAGGGACTTGGGAAAACAAAATTATTGCAGCATGAGATAGACGTAGGTACGGCAAAACCTATAAAGCAGCGTCACTACCCAGTTTCCCCAGCCATCGAAAAACTTATGTATGACGAAATCGTTTGGATGATTGGCCTTGGAGTCATCGAGGAGTCCGATAGCTCGTGGTCATCGCCAGTAGTTATCGTAAGGAAACCTGGTAAAGTGCGCCTTTGCATAGACTGCCGCAAGGTT